TCCACTTGGACCTGTTTTCGTTTTCAGGCCACTAGGATTATTCTTCGATCCCAAAGGACTTGATATTTAACTCATCCGGGCCTGAAGTTTGAAGGATAGGAAAACATCTGAGGAGCTGAACAGGAAGTGGTCTGAGAGTAAGATGTCATCACAGGGTGGGAGATTTCCCTGGGAAGGGTCCTGACAGTCAGCTGTCCATACACTTTGTTGTTTGCCTCTCAGCTGAATTTGCGTCAGCTTTACAACTTGGATTAACATGATTACATACGAGCCCTTTTGTTACATTAGCAAAACGTTCTAAGAAGGCACAACAGAGGATGCTCCCCCATGCCTCATTTGAAGTATTGTTCAAGATTTAGACTCCATATCATGTATCCTAAAATATATATTTGAATAGAGATAAGATTTATATTACATAGCTCAGCACAGCTATAGCTTTCTTTGCATTGTTTGGAATCCTCGTTTCTTCAGAAGCAAACTTAAATAATTTTCCCAAATTTGTGAGCATAATTCACATAATTTTTAGAGCTATATCCCTCTTTACCTCTTTATCCCTGTTTATTTACCATTCTGCTTTTGTGGAGTGTATTATGAATCAAGATTAGAGGGTGTGCTGAGTCTTTTGAGCCTAAAGCCTCGAGTTTCTAGTGTCATTAAGGATGACGTTGTACTCTGGCAATATAGAGCCACAGTTAAGGTAAATATGTGTATGGAAATTTATAGTTACAGTTAAGAAGCCATAGAATGAAGCCATGCAGTTACAGGAGCAAATACTGTGCACATCACATCACTAAACCTATGGCTGCAGTTAGTGATGAATATAATCTGCCCCACGCTCCCCTCAGAGTCTCCCTCTGCTCTTCAGCCCCTGTATGCTTCAGAAGTTATTGAGTTTACATTTCACACAGCTCATCATTCATGCAGTGAAAGAATGATAAAAGTCATCATAGCACCAACACACACTGTGGATTACTTCCTTAGTCGTAAACCCTCTTTTCCTGTCTACTCCATTTAACTCTCCTAGTTTTGCAGCTACAACAGCTATTATACATTATTTAGTAAATAGATATTAATCACAGATTGTATTCAAACATTGAATTCAATTGAACATGGTTTGGCCAAATGCTCGCGACTTTCACATATTCTTAATTATATGGAAGTGTTGCTTGGTTTCTTCTATGTATTGACATTTTATCTTGAAACGATTCATGGTGTTTGTTTAACACATTAGAAAAGTGCACTGAGAGTGTATTGGGAGGGGCGCAGATTGGCTAGCACTGAGGACACGTCCTGTGTATTGAGGCAAAAGTCCTCCAGGTGGGCGGCCTGGGTTCGGGGTCCAACCGGTTGATCCTACCCTGCATGTCATTCCCCACTCCCTCTCTCTCCTCCATTTCCTACTCTATCCCACTGTCATATCGAATAAAGCCAAAAGCCCCAAAATATGTATTATCAAAAAAAGAGAGTATTTTAGGAGATAGAATGTAATTATTAGCTTTCAAACAAACACAATGGTTTTGAGCAGAATTCCTGTATTGCCTCATTTGTCACCTTCACAACAGGGTCCTAAGACTCTAACGAGACTCTTCTCCTCTGTCGCCCCCTGGTGGTGGAATGATCTTCCAAACTCCATTCATTCTGCAGAGTCTGCACCTTTAAGAAAAAGCTAAAGACCCAGCTCTTTCATGAATACCTACGACCCTAATGATGACGATGGTCTAGATATTATTGATGATGACGGTAATGACGATGGTTTTGTTTGATAACAACGATTTTTAAGATGGTTTCTATACTGATTAGAGCTCTCAAGAACTGCCGTCAATGTTGTGCTTTGCCTCTGTGCAATGCCTGTCAGCACCTGTGTGTCCAATCGGACTCAAAACTGACATTGTTTCCTCTTTTCTAGATCCTCGCTTGTGTTGTACTTACTCTCTGATGTACGTGGCTTTGGATAAAAGCGTCTGCTAAGTGAATTGTAGAGTTTGCAATAGCAGTGTTGATTTTTTTTTCACGGCGATGTCTTATTCTGACAGTGATGGTCAATATAAAGGACCCTCTCATTTTAGATTTTTCTTTAGAATATAGTCTCTGTAAGATCTTACTGTGATGGTTGATGGTGTTGATGAGCCGGATTCCTACATGTGCATGATTGTACGTCACCAAAACAATGTCAAACAGTTCTTCACTTTGTGGGTACAGCTCCCGCAGACGAGCGTTCACCGCCTCCAGAGCCTGTAAGGGAAAAGCAGCTGTCAGTTTAAAAGCTCTCATGGGCGCAAAAGTCATAAGAGTAGCTTTACAAATCAAAATCCAAATGGATACTGCATTTATATAATGTCTGTGAGTGCAAAGCCGTGTGACTTTAACCTTGACAAGGGGGAATGCGGGCCCTGGGGCAAAGGGTTCGTTCTCATGCTCGATCTGGTATCTCAGATACTCCTCGACTCCTTTCTGCTCAAACACCTTCTGCTCCCGATCGGTCCGAAACAAAACCCGAGTAGAAACAGCGATGGTCACCGCATTCTCTGGTTTTGGCTGCAGAAAAGAGAGGGAGCGGTGAAAATGATTGAAAGCAGATAAAAAGAAAACAGGGAAGATGAGAAAGCAACAACAGGAGGAGAAGAGGTGAGAGGCGTCACAGGAATAGTTTAGACTTATTTTATCTCTGTTGCACAATAGACACTCCAGCTAAACCCTGCTAATAATACATTAAAGGTTTCCTTTGTACAAGTGCATGCCATTGCAGGGGCTGCTATTACTTTTGTGACCCTAAAGGCAACATCATAAAAGTTTGTATAGACATCCACGTCAAAACTCATGCTGAGTTACATGCCAAAAACATTGAAACATTACACATGTTGTCAGGACTGTCAGGACAACTCAGTGTAAGAATGGAGATAAAACAGCAATGGTGTCATCTGTGGTCATGGTATAATATATTTGTAAGGCCATGTGGTCAATGCTTCACTCACACAAACAGCAAGAACACAGCAAATGACTGCTAAAAAACAATAAGACTATTTTTGTAAAAAGAAAAAAAAACCTTTTCTACCTTTCACTAGCTCGTTAAAAAGGGTGGCAGGTGACATTTTTATGGTCTCGTTCTCAAAGTCGCCTGTACATACTGACCAAGTTGTCAAAATGAGCTAAGACAGCTCATATTAAAAGAACTAGATGGCTCACTGGCCTCATGTTGCACTCATATTGCCTGACGTGGATTTGCACACGCAGTGCTCATGTTTGAAGGGGGAGGGAGAAATTCCTGTGGTGGCAGCCAGCTTTGGTGACCACAGCAGACGGCCAAATTCAGGTGATGCCTGGATGGTGGGAGAAGAGGTTAGGGGGGCAGAGGGGCTGAGTGTACGGGTTGTACCAGGTTACAAGATTTGGCCTAAAAGAGTGGCTGCACAGTGAGTCACATGATTAAAAATACATTTTCTTTGAAATCATATCAACAGAAGATATAAACCCTGAATGTTGTCCTTATTTTTTAATGATAAAATCAACTTAGTATTTTTACAGTGCAGTGTCAAATAAAACCTGTGCGCAGTGCAACAAGGCAAACACATGTAATGCTCATCATTGCATGCTTTTGAGTCAATATCTGTCTACATCCGTTCTGTGTATTTGCAGTGTGAGAAGTTATCTGCGTGGCAGTGTGTTAACATGCACTAATTGCTATTCGCTGGTAAATAGGCCACAAGCTGACAGGGGCAGAGAGCAATTGTCCCTGTTTAGCCTTATTCCATTACAACAACACTGGCTGCTGACATATCACCGACTTACCTATTATAACACACATACGCACACCCAAACACATGTACAAAGTCTCGAGTTATGACTCATCCATTGTGAGAGCTTTGTTATTATTTATTTACTCGGTGTAGGTTTCAAGTACTGTAAAGTTGCAAATGAGAAAATTGGCATGAAAACAGATGCCTAGAAATCCGTTGATTGTTGACACTCAATCCCAGGACCAAAATGTGACTTGAGGACCTTTAAGATTTTAGGACATGTGTGTCACTCTAATCAGACATAGAGTCAAATTCTACACATTCACCATGGACAGTCCCGATTTTCTTAACTGTCTTATTGTGTACTTGAGGCTACCATTGTCCACTTAAATGACCTGTTCGCTAGAAAAGGCGCGGCTCATCAGGATTTCTCAGTTAGAAGGCGATTACTTTCAACTTTGGGGCGACTGCCCATTTGCATCGAGGTAGTCACATTGAAGTCATGTTGAAAATATTTGTATGGTGCCTGTAAAGATTAGGGGTTCCAGCTATACCAGAAAAGCAAAACACCTTGTAAAATCTTTTTTTTTCTAATTAAAAAAACAACTAGTGCAAATCATTTGTGAAAATTGCACTTGCATGCCCGGCCTAAATTTGTGTTTAAGGCTATGCCTTAAATAACCTTTAAATATGAAAATGATAGGCTAAATAACCAACACTGTTGGCTTGTTTATAAAATGGGGAAAGTAATGCAAATTACTTACAAAATAGTTGTTAGTCATATTTAGACTGACAAAATGAATTATTCATACATTACTAACAAAATGTTGATCTGTACAGTTCATTAAGATGGACTCCACTTTTTAAGTTGGGCCATTCATTATTTACCACTAGTTGAATTTAAATTCACTTTTTATTTGCACCAACAACAAACCAACAACAGCAGGGCATATTATGTGTCATCTTATGTTAGACATTTAAAAAAACCTGACGTTTTTATGAGCATGAGTTCACAAATCAAAGAGCTGCAGCAGTCTTTAACGTTGTAGTGATTGAAACACAGCATGTAGGTTCATTAGTTCGACTATCCAGTGCAATATGAATCAACATGACAGCACACGTGATGAGACATCAGGCCGGGTTGCTGGTTAGTGTAGTGGGTGTGTGTGTGTGATCATGCAGGCACAATGGAAGCTGCACAGTGGAGGTTACAAGGTGAAAGGGCAGTGATGATGACCAGTCAGGAGCAATGGGCACAACCTTTGACCTGACGTTTTTATGAGACATATACTTACGAAGAAAACACCTCCCTCCACCTTCCGGGCTCGTCTCCCTGTCACCTTAGCAAAATGACAGTTTGTTTTCATTCATAGGGTTATCAGAAATCATCAATTCACAAGTGAAATACCTCCAATCCAAAAATGCAACCCTTGTTCTGTGAAATAGATTCTTCTTGTACAGACTGTAGATTTTAAAGTATGTAACATGGGATATGAAGATGGTGGCACAGTAAACAATTCCAAAGTGTGCTGCAGAGAACATTGGTCACTTTCCAAATTCTGATCAGAGACAACTTTACAAGACCTTCAGTGAAGCCTATCCGTTAGAGTCAGTTTACTCTATGAATAACATGTCACACTGTCTGGGAATGATCCCAGAGCAGGAGTCCGGTTCTGTGCTGTGATAGGATACTGCTAGTGTTTACAGCATGCCCTCTTAAAGCGAATGCATTGATCATAAGACACCTCTGCACAGGAACTCACAGTTACCAAAATCACCTCCTGCCTATTGATTTAGTGGACACTAGGTACATCAGTATAGCTAAACCTGCTGGGAATTTGGAGCTAAATAAACATGTGTGTTACTGTAATGTTTTTTGTCCTGTAAAGCATAAAGCTGGACTTATTGGTGAAACTTCTAACCCCCCCCCACATCATGCACCATATTAATCCAGTCAGAGCTCTGCCAAATCAGCAGGACTGGTGTTTTCAGCATAACCCAGTGAGTCATCTGTTATTTACATCTCTGAGGCTGTGAGATAACCCTTCCATCCATCCGAGATTAATAATAAGAGGATGGATGGAAGGGGTTTCCAGACAGCAGAGTGTAAGTAAGAGCAGAGGGGGGGGAGCAGTGTGAAAAATTAAAGGGGTGAGAATGAGAGGAGATAGTGACAGGGTTAGAAGCAGTGGGAGGGCTGATATTTATAGAGAAGTAAAAGGCCAGTGATGTGTTCTGTTCAGGCCTTGGCATATATACTGACACAGGAGCATGACTGAGCAATGTATAATGTATGTCCTGGTTTGCCAAAAAATCAGGTCAATAATGGCCTTTTGTTAATAACAGGAGGATTGACAGATGCTGATGGGATGTTGTGTGCCTTTATAATCTACTGTATCCAGGGTGACCCATGTCTGAACTGCTATTTAATCACTGAAACACAGAAATTCTGACATGTTCTTGTACAATTTAACCAATCCCTGAAATGACACATGTCATATGTGTGCAGAGGGAGGGGTTTGGTGTCAAATACCACAAAAAAAAAAAAACATCAACTGAGGATATGATAATTCTATATAGGTAGCATGTAGCAAGAGATAAGGTGACAACAAACCCAAGGACATGGTATTAAAGCTTGGGAAGAGCAGTTTATATTTCACTAACTCCTTAAAAAACACTGAATCATGCTGAAAAACGTCAATTTAAATGATGAAACCTGTTGTAATATTTTAACAAAATCATGAATCATGTCAAGATTCGGCTCAGTATTGACGACCATATGACCATCCACTAAGTTGATTAAAAGGTTGTTAATCTGTGTGCTCCATTACCTTTGAGGAATAATCACTTACAGTATACACTAATGCCGTAATGTGTCTTAAAACTCTTTAATATGTATTTGTACATGTGAGCACAGTTAAATCCCTCAGTGTAAAGCATTTACGATGAAGGCAGGGATGGATCTGAGCTTCCCATTAGGCCAGAGTCTTATTACGGTAATGTAAAGCATCAATATTGGGATTGGTACAGTAGTTTAGTAGGATGGATGTTTACTGTCTAAAAATACACCACTGTGACCGCACTAATCCTCCGACACTAAGCAAAGATTACTCAGCGTTTAGCTACTTTTAGACTAGTGCATTGCCTTCAGCTAAAATGAAGAAATACAGAATTTTATCATTTACTTTGTGTTACTAATTTGGTTTATTAGTCTGTCAGAAATTACGACGTATGTTTTAATTTCATGAATACCGGAATTAAGTGGGAAAATTTTGTGGAATTGACCCATTAGACCAATCTCCAATGAGATGTATACATAAGTAAATCAAACATGAATTATTTCACTATAATATCTTGACATTTTTTTTCATTAAGTTTGCTTTGAAGCCTAGCCATTGCTGCTTTTAGGGGTGTCTCATGTGAAAGCTAACTCTATTCATAATTTGACAGAGAAAGGATTCAAGAGTTTGTTCCATAAACTTGCATCCTCAAAACTAACAGAAACTCTTCCTGTCACCTTGTCAAAATTGTGCCCTCATTTATACCCCATGCTTCAAACTGTGGGGTATAAATCGGAGCACTCAGCAGAGGAGAGAGTAGCAACAGGGCTAAAGAGAGGAGAGGAGGTCAGAGTGTTTTTGGAAAGTAATTTGTGGTGCAGTTAATATTAACAAGAGAACTGTGCACAATTTTGTTCTGGAAATGTCAGTATTTTTAAAAATGGTATTGCTAACTAACACAGACACACTGACAGATAGATACAGATTCCATAACATTCTAAATATTCAGTAAGACTTACTGGTATTGGCTTGGTGGTGAGGCCCAAGTTGTCTTGATCAAACTCCTCTTTCTCTTCCCATGATCCTTTGCTGTCCCCATTGGATGAAGGGACAACTTTGAGTTCCTTGGCATGTCCGCTCATCACCTGCACCGGGTCGAGACTCATCTTCACCACAGAGAATCCACCTTCTCTGTTTTTCCAAAAGTGGCCTCAAACCGCCCCTCACTTCTCTACCTCTGATAAAGACACAATTCTCTTCCTCATCCAAATTACAGCAATAAAATGTCCTGCTGCAGTCCGTAGCATTTATCAAGATACTCCTGGCAAGTGCATTGATAACAGTACTACAGTAGATTGCTGGGCATGCACCTGCCTGTGAAAGCAGGCCAAGTGTGAAGAGCAAAAGTGCTCCCTCTTCCGTCCCCTGCTCACTTGTCTGTATCCGTTTTATCTCAAGAGGATTATTGCTCACTGCATCCAATTCCAGAGGACATGGGCAGCCTACAAACTCACAACCGTTCTCCTACACACAGCGTCTGTTGTGCATGCTTACACACACAGTGATATACAGTCTGTCTGTGTTGCAGGCTGTACAGCAGTCCATCTGCTGCAGTCCCTTTGCCCCTCTCTCTTTTCCACACATTCACCCCCCCCCCCCACTCCCAGTCCCCCCTGTCTCATTCAATCACTCTCTGCTGCCTGCATTCATTTATTCCCCTCTGCCGCTGGCCAATCACAGACCTGCTTCCTTATTCAGCGTGGCTCCACCCCCCTGCTGTTCCTTGTTGACAGTGCAGTCAGTTTGCCCAAGAGGCTCATGGGAAGTTCAGGCACAAACTAGAGTACAGAGCAAATTTTGGCTAACATGAGCCATTTAGTCTGTTTTTTTTTTTTGTATTATTAGTTAGAAGGGCTAAAAATAATTCTGATTGTCATCCATGAAAAATATGATTTTCCCATATGAAGAGCTTAAGAGCTTATTTTATATATACACACTATATTTGGAAACCTATCTCTGTTAAGAAATGTAAGTTGTGTAAAATAGACTATAAGCTATTGTATTTTTTGACATTTCTTTTCTCTTTGGAAGCATTGGTCATGCTGTTAACAAATGCTGACAAATACATGTGGATCAAGAAAACAGAGCCAGACGGGGGCTGTATACAGCAATAGCTGGGCATAACTTAATTTTGACACATTGATACCATACAGTAGAAGAAACATGTTGGGCTTTAAATGTGTTAAAAATATTCCAATAGTTCGCTGTACAACAAATACAAGTGAAAACATTGAGCTCTGTTTTCAGCATGACTGAAAATGTTCATTTGAAATGTTTTGAAAGTTACTGAATCTTACTCCACTTTCAGATTTCAGCTCTTATTTTCATGCATGTTGAACTTTTTATTTATTTAGTAAATCTGTATGGTAAATATGATTTAATCACTTTTGTACTAGCCTAAAACTTAAACCAAATGACTGAAACATCAAAAGCAAAGCAGTGTTTGGAATACCATCAATTGATTGGACTTTGACGTAGTTATGATGAACTAAATGTCTCTCCTTTAGAAAACTTGCTGGTGTTGTGAAGGATCATTAAATATTGAGTCAGGTTTACCTTATGACATAGTATGTGTATGGAGAGACGTTTGGTGTTTGATACACACTCATGTTGATGAGTCATATAAAATAATGAAATGTAACAAAAATAAAGTTAGTACCAAGTACATAGGATAAGAAAAACACAGACTAAGAGAGAGAGAGGGAGAGGGAGAGAATGGATGAGGTAAATGTTGATCAGAGAACAGAGAGTTAAATTGACCTAAAGGTTGCAGATAATGGATGTAACCTTCATTTAAAACCAAGGTTGTACACCAAGTCGAACGCAGGGCCATTAGTGTCTTCACTCATGCATGTTGAGCACAGCGCAGTGGCAGACCATGGTCATGTTTCAATTATAGCTTTATAAATTTTGAATTATGAAAATGTGACTGCTTACTTCAGCCGACACATCCCGTGGTTTAAGGCCTTATAAACATATTTTTGCATTTTTTTTTTTACTACTAAAGAGACATCAGTTGTCATGAGTCAGTCTTTAGTTTGTAGTTTGTCTATTTCAAAGTTTAGGTTTCCTTGTGGTTATTGTTTCCCTTGTGTGTTTTTGTCTGAATGTTTCATAGTCTTTAGTGTTTCTTGTTTTATTTTGTATTTTCTTATCCTTGTGTTTCTTTGTTCTAGTGGTTATGTTACACTCTTGAGTTCTCTGTGTATCTTAATGTTTCTTGTGTTGTAGTTCTAGTCACCAGTGTTTCTTGTCTTGTGTTCATTCCTGCCTCTGTGTGTTTCCCTCCAGTGTGATTGCCCTCATTGTCTTCACCTGTGTCGTTAGTCTCACCTGTGTCTGATTACACTTGTGTCTATTTAGTCTCTGTGTTTCTTCCCTTCTGTGTCAGTTAATTGTCATATGTCTATGTTAGATGTAAGTTTTCCCCGTGCTCCCTATTGGTTCCTTGTGTCTTCCTGTTTTGACCCTTTTGGGATTTTGTTTTGGTTGCCTTTTTGTTTTAATTAAATAGTCTTTTGTAATTCTGCACTTGGGTCTACCTCGCCCTTGTTTTCAACACACTGCGACATCAGTATTATTTTCATTCTGTTTTAAATCAGTTCAAAACTCATCTCAGGAGCTTGAACTAGGTATGTTTTCAGAATGAAAAACACAGTATACTTTTCTCATTTACAGTATATTTTTTGGAGTGTAGATTTCTCTATTTACTACACACAAGCTCTGATAAAGCATTCAAATTTGACAAATGGTCAAGGGGATGGAGGCAGTTAAAAAAATGCAGAGCCCAGATTAACTCTGTCCTTTTTAGGCATGTCTGGTTACTTTGTCCTGTGCACTATTACTGTAATGCATTATGTGTATACTAAAATTACATCATGAGCAACACAGACAGTCCCACAACTAAATTCAGGTCATGTCTCTTTAATGGTATCTGTACAATGCTTTTTCTTAGGTTGATGCCAGGATTAGTGGTCACTAAACGTTTTCTCACTCTTGATATTGGAACATTTTTATTTATGAAGTTATAAGAAGTATCTGGCCTTTCTGCCAAATGATCAAACTAGATTACCATCTGTCAATAATAGTCTTGGAGTCTGGATTTTTGTTGCTACTTTATAGTTATGTTCTGTCCTCACTGCTTTGTATTGATTTAGCTACACATTCCCAGCAAGAAGATCGGTTGCTTAGCAGTCTCTCTTCCATGGGTCACTGCTCGGTCAGTGTGACTGAATGTTATGATTTGTAGTTGAAATCCCACTTTCTGTCACTTTCTTTTCACCAAATAGAATGTATAAATGTATTTAGGTTCATTTGGTTATAACATGGACACAAATACGTCAGAAGGAAATGAAAAAACTGACACTTTGGCAGACATTAGAGGATATTTAGTCGGGAGTGTGTGAGGTAACAGCCCCATCCTGTGGTCACACTGCAAACTGCAACTGTCGAGCATGACCTCTATTGCTGCAGTGTGATTCACTGTTTCTCCGTATGCTCATTTGTGATGTGTGGTTCTCTACTGAGCTGAAGGCTGATACTGTGAAGCTCAGAATAGTTTTTTATCGATCCTTGATGGGTGGCTGGGGGGGAGGGGCATTGGAAACAATGACATAGCCCACATACTTTGAACTGAGGAATGAACAGAAAGAACAAACACTGATGTGGAATCTGAAATAATAAATATTAGTGTTTTTATTTTGGACAATTGGACTGATATTTGTCTTAGTAGAAATCACAGAAGCCTACACAAGGACAACAATAAAGCTGTATCATCCTTTAACAAAGCATTTAAAAAACAGGAAATCTATTTACTCTCTCAGTTTAAATGTTTCCAGCTCTCATGGTATGTCCATAATTATGTGAAAGCTTTATCTACATAAGACGAGTTATTGAAGGCACGTTTTCTCCGTTGCTGTGGGGCTGAGTAAATTGAAGACTGCAGATACCGGAAGCAAAATTAATTTCTGCACTCATTACACTTTACAGTGAGATGTGACTCTATGTGTGTGTGTGTGTGTGTCTGAATATGGTAAGCTTCATAGGTGTGAAAGGTTTTTTTTGTGTATGTTTATGCACTTGTCTCCCTGCCTGGTGGCCTCAGCGTGGTAACCATGAGAACAGCATGAACGGTGACCTCATTGCAGCAATGTGACATCATAGACGGTGACTCATATTCTTGGCGCTCTGTTTTGTGTGTGTGAATGCATTTCAGTGTGTCAAGATGCTATTGGAGGAAACACATTGGCCAAGGCAAGAAGACAACAACAACAGGCACTTTGAACATCAATTAATTTTATTCTATGTAACAAAAATAATTACATTGTCTTTGTTCTAGGATCCTAATATTGAAATCAAAAAACAAAAAAAAAAAGCTAAATTATCAACTGGGACAGCAGACATTTACATAAACATCATAGAGAAAAATGTTGAAGAATAGAACTATATTGCACCACTGAGCACAAATGATCCCCTTCAAAAAGTAAAGAATATCTATGTTGGTATTCATGTAACAAAGCTCAGTGTGTCTGTTTTCTGAAGACTGACAGCTGATGAACTGCATCACATGACATCAACATAGTATCTCTTCATTTTGAACTTCAACTGATTCAACCATAGCACTTCCAACCCACATAACTCCATCTTTGGCACAGAAATTATACCGAGTAAATGATTTATTTTGCCAATGTAATTTATTTATTGTAAACTGCATTAGGGGGGAAAAAAAACATTCAGTGAGAAAGCAGTTAAAAAAAATAATAAAAATGTGTGTTTGCAATCTTCAAAAACCGAAGCGGCCCCCTCGCTCTGAACCTGTGCTAATTAGGACGGACAAAAATCTAATAAGCAGAGGAGTGTGAAGACCAACACACCGAGAAGCCACTTTGTGAGCCAATCTTTTGTCGTCAAAATGTTTTTTTTTTTTTTTTTAAATTGCACACTGCTTTACATTTAGAAGGATGATTAAGCCTGTCACAAAAAATACATTTAGTCGTAACATGAGGCAACAGAATACTCTGAGCTCTAGGGGTGATTAAGTATACACTCAAAAGAATTTACAAGACATTCGTTCTGGTTTTATCAAACTTAATCTTGTGTTTCTGTTTTCCCTGAAATAGGAGCAAAACAATCTGCAAGTGGAGAAAATAAATCTAATAAATATATCTTATGCTGGCTGACAAGGCCCTATACAATGCTTTTCTGTCATCCAAAATAACTCATTTTTTTCCTCGAGGTTACTTGTTACCACAGAAAAACAGTTAAATGATAGATATTGATGCATGTCCACTCAGGGCTTCCGTAGTTTTTCATACTTTTACAGGGAGAATTAAGAAAGATTATTTTTCAATCCTGCATACTGTTAGGTTTTAAAGCTCATAAGCTTCAAAGATAAGGATTTGACTTTTGTTGTTTTAATAGAAATATTTAACTCTTTAGCTTCTAAATGCTCCAATGTGTTGAAAGTGAAGTAGGTTTGCTTTTGGAGGCTCATGGCTCACTGCTAACAAATACATGTGGAGCAAGAAAACAGAGCCAGACGGGGGCTGTATACAGCAATAGCTGGGCATAACTTAATTTTGACACACTGATACCATACAGTAGAAGAAACATGTTGGGCTTTAAATGTGTTAAAATATTCCAATAGTTCGCTGTACAACAAATACAAGTGAAAACATTGAGTTCTGTTTTCAGCATGACTGAAAAGTTCATTTGAAATGTTTTGAAAATTACTGAATCTTACTCCACTTTTAGATTCCAGCTCTTATTTTCAGGAACAGAAAACTCTTCGGACAAAACAAGATTATCGAGTTCTTCACATCAGATAAGATTTCCAGTTTTGATCTTGAGGCACAATCATTATATAAGCAAAGGAGAGCTGTACAGTAGTGTGACTTCATACCTCCAACCACTGGGTGACACTGTGACACAGGACAGTTTGACTATTATTATTTATTATTATCGCTGACACCCATCTCCTCAGACCTCAGGCTTCTCCTGCCCATAACCTGTCAGCAACCTCCACTTCAGAGACTGAGGCCTACAGAAGTAATCACTATGTGTGTGTGAGTATTATTATTTGTAGAACTGCAACAAGAGGCTACAGCAAACAAAACAGCACATCCCATATTGGAGACAGTACATCGGCTACTGTACACCAGCGGACCACGAAAGCAAGTGTAGGTGTGGGTGATAATACTCAGTGCTTCGGTGGGAGGGTTACCTCTAACATTTGTACAAACTTAAACTAGACTGAGGCATCTCTTGATACACAAATGATACAAATACAAAACACAGTAACACAAACACGTACAAAACACTTGCAAAAGTGTCCGGATATACAGCACGCACTGAGCTTTTTCACAAGCACTCACAGTTTCTACTCTGGCTCACTCCGTCATCCTCTCACACAGAACACACACATACATCCTCTCTCTCTCTCTCTCTCACACACACACACACACACACACACACACACACACACACACACACACACACACACACACACACACACACACACACACACAGTAGCTGAGTCATCTTATGAAAGTGTGTCTAAAGCTAGTGGTACATTTACATTTACATAGTATATTTGTTTATATTCATAAATACGATTACGGTCGTATCATATTATACATGTCGCTTTATCATTACATTATCAAACAAGGGAGGCTCGTTCTTTCACTTTGGGGGGGGGGAGCATTTTCACTGGTTTGACGAGAAGTAGCAAAATGATGTGCAATGACAACTGTTTCAGTCGGCTAAGAGGACACGGAATGAATCATTTATGTGGGACTCGTGGAATAGAATAAAAGGTCTTTGAGATTTAAGAGAAATTAAATGGTGGGGAACTGTGTCTGCAGAGAGCCTGTTCTCTTCCTCTACTTCAACTCAGGAGGTTTCTAGGAGGGCACTGGGTGTATTTCAAGAAGCCAATGACAGCACACAGGTGAGTTAAGTATACAATTCAGTGATTGGGCGCTATTCATACCACGGAATGGTGGATAAAGCTTGTTCCAAAATGAGGTTGAACCTTGGGTTGGCTTTTAGTCACGGATGCAGAGTTGTCCTTGCTGTCTGCTGGACAGGCAGGTGCCAAACCCAGGCAGTTAGTTGGTGCTAGCATGCTAAATAATAGCCTTTTCCATTACATCAAATGTAACAGGCCTACTCTCAGGCAGCGTGCAGTGTGTCATCAGGCCAAGCTGGATGTAACTAGCAATTCTGGTAGTAACTAGCCAAGTTAGAGGGGCCCAGTTTGAATTTTGTGTTTACAAGCTTACAACGAACGATGCTACCGACACTATCTTTAAGAAACAAAGCACTTATCTACGAAAGTTTGTTTCACAACTTACAATTATCGTGAGCGCGATGCTGGTTCAGTCAGCCCTTTAATATCAATTTCAATTAAGTGCGGGCCTCAAGCTAACGTACTTAGATGTACATGCTGGTCTATTTGTAAAAATGAGGGGGGAGGGAGAGTTAGCCTCCTTTGGGGTGGGCATTGCAAACTAGCTTTGGTTAAAAGTGCTGTAGTGTGTGGCAGCAGTTAACTTGCTCCATATTTGTCCCTATTCAAATCTTAATTAAATAAATAAAACCCCCTGCAGAATAATGCAGCAGCTGCCACTGCACCCGTCAAAGGAAAGGGATTTATTTTAATTGCTTTGCTGATCCTATGGAATGCATGGATTTGTGAAGGGAAACGCAGGAAATGACTGACTTACTGAACATTACGATTCAGGTTGCATTACATGCATGATTGATATTCACAAGCAGATGAGCACAGCACCCAGGCTTCCTCGTCAACCTTTTGATCTTTTTAAAATTGATTTTAGATCTGAGCTGAGTTCAGCGAAGTTCCCTCTCCCTGCACCTATTATCAAAGCACTTCCTTTCTGACATTTAGGATGGAAGAGGAGAAAAAGGGCCGAGAGCAGGACAGTGGGAGAGGAAGAGAGGCGAGCCTTTCGGCCTTCAATGTGAAACAAAAATGAATCACGGAGGCAGGGTTGGCCTTTCTGAGAAATACCGTTTCTGCCATGTGGTCTGCAATTACTGTCCTGATTATCCCCACTCCACACTGGTCTAGTGGCCCCCTCCTCTGCTCAAGTGGACGATTTTACAATGTCCTGTATGTTTCCTGATTTCTAATTGTGCATATATATATGTTAGACTTTCAATATGATTTCTAGAGTTCATTCAGATTTGCTTTCTAATGAGGACAGGGCTTATTTTATTTGTTTATTTTGGTGTTGAGGACAATGACTGTAATACTGTTGTGGTCATCAAACTTTAGTTTTTTCATATGTCTGGTTATGAAACATGTACCAACAATAGAAATGTACTTTTTTGGATTATAACGTTATTTATTAGGCATACCTTTAAGACGTGAATGTTTCAAAGTGTCAAGTAAAAAGGATTTAAATATGATACTTGCACAACAATATGTATATTATGCTTGTTTCTAAAATGTTTATTTGGAAAATAATTTGTTGATACAATTATGACAGTAAATGGATATATATATATATATATATATATATGGTTTTATTAAAAATAAGCTGATGTGGTGATTTCTGGCATTCATAAAAAGAATAAATAAGAAGGAAGAGAGCCACGTGGAGAACATGTTCATCAGCTAAAAAAGCAGAGGTTTGAAAATGTAGTGGACAAAGCTTTATTCTGACTTATTTGAATTACATTTTATGATAAACATTTAATTGTTTGGATAAAATGTTGATTTCTAAGCATGTGGGGATAAAGCTTCAGGTGCAGCCAGATGTCACTGAGCAGCTCATCAGTATTCTTCACCATGCCGCTGGAGGCAGCCGTCTGAGACATTCATCACCTGTCTGCCTCACATTTAGAGCATGGACACAAGGTGTTGTAATGTATCCCAAATGCTCTCTCTGGGTGCCCTCAAACTTATTGTGGAATAGATGGTTGAGAAAGTAACAATGTAACTGCACACTTTACAAATATGCGGTTACATCTAGTTTGGCCTGGGTTATTAAAATGTACTTTGCTCGGAAAATGTCACATTCATTTCCCATTCATACTCAGAAAAATATGGACATCAATAAACATCCACACACAGCTTATGGATTTGTATGTTTATGTAATAATCTCTTTCAGCATTTGCTACTCTCTGGTAGCTCTAGATGGACCGTATAGAAAACACAACAGGCCCTTTGTTTTGGTTTAATGCCATTCCTTTCTTCAACCTGTGGTGCACATCATTTACTACTAACTGTTTTAAAGTTGATAGACTGGTTGCCGGAATTTCCAGTACAGTAAGAAATTAAGGAAAAAGTTTAGTAACTCTCTCATATCAGTTTATGAAGCTGAGAAACGTAGCATGTTATAGCGTTGTAAAAGTCAAGGAGGAACTGCTGGCTTAGCTCTTCATCTCAAGTGTTGAAATGATACATACCCGGGCTTATTGACCAGCCTAATCCATAGTGGTAAGTCAACGGTGATGTTTCTGATTGTTGGCCAGGTTACTACTGGACATTGATTCAAATCGGTAACCTGTTGTTTTTGGACTTTTCCCATTGAACAGATTCAACCAAAAACCGGCAACATCTTAAATGGTGAGTTTAACTGGTGCTGGTAGTCATATTTCTTTACCCGTGAATATTGTGAGCTTTCTCTTCATCTCTCACCACTTGGACCAAGTGGTATCAATCCTTCTAAATAGCTCTCTAAAAATAGGATGGTTTAGACACCATTCACTCTTTTACAAATAAGATCCTGTGCACTTCAGAGTCTGAATCTTACTATCTAGACACACAGTCAGCCCAGGTGGGGCTGACAAATCCATATTTCCTTTAGCTGTACATCCCTATAATATCTATTCTGCCTGTGCCAAAATAACTGGCAGAATTTCCACAATTTTTTTATTCTCTCAGTGGATTAGTAAAAACACTCTATAGTGCTATAGTGAAGCAAAAGAGGTACAGGAACGTCAAAGAGGGAGGGCATGGAGCAAAGAAATGGCATCAACCATAGGATCAACTGTGTTCCCATCATGCCTCATCCCATTTTACTGTTTCAAATAAAGGAAATAAACCTTCCCTACTTCCTCCTCTTCCCCGAAAACTGCATCCCTCCCTTTCATCATCAGCCCTTCTGTTCTCTCATCCTCCATCCTTCCCTTACTCAAGTTCAACTCTTCCTCCCCTCCCTCTCTACCCTAATAGTTTCTGCACCCACCCTCTTTCTACTTCTGCATGTCACACTGCAGCAGTAGGACGATGGAGGGGTCAGACTTGGCGGCCTCTTTAAACTCTTCCAGGGAGATCTCATCATTGTGGTCCTTGTCCATCTTTGAGAAGATCTTGTCCACACGCTGCTGCGGAGTCAACCCATCCTCATTCATTCGCATCATGATCACAGTTCCCACCATCTTATAGATGGCCTACAGAGGAGGGAAAAAGGGAAAATGCTAGATTTTTTTCTTGTAATGTTCGGTTGGATTTGTTTCTAGTTACACAACAACTTTATTAAAACACATACCTCTATGATCTCCAGCATCTCCATGCGGGTGATCTTTCCATCCCCATCCAGATCGTACATGTTGAAGGCCCAGTTAAGTTTCTGCTCAAAGCTGCCCCTGGAGGTGATGGACAGGGCGCAGATAAACTCTCTGAAGTCGATGGTCCCGTCGCCGTTCTTGTCAAATGTCCGAAACGCATGCTGGGCGAATTTGGAAGCATCACCATATGGGAAAAACTGAGAGTGAAAAATGAGACACAAGGTCATATAAATTATGCATGTATTGCAATGGGTGCACACATTGTACTGGCAATGTGTGCCCTGTAATGGGCTATAATATGAACATTGCCATCTAATTGCCAATGAACAAGGAAAGTGTTTTGGAGTACCTATAATAATTATGACCTGTCAATAAAGAGTTACTAAAGAAACTGGGATTTTATCCACTGGAGTCTAAGAGGCTGGTTAAAAGACACTATAGAAAGGACCGGTTACAATTTAAGTCTTTTTTTATGATGTGAAACTTTTGTCTCAATGCAATTAACTTTTATCTAAAATCTAAAATTAAAACTACTTTATAGGTTTTTCACATCTCAGAGTCATTTCCTTAAGTGTCGGGCATAGCTTTTCTCTTCACTCCTAAGAGTTGATGAAAATATACTAAATAAAAAGTATCTTTAACCCCTGTGAGAACAAGTAGAATCTGTCATCCTCTGTCGTGCATTGAACCATTTGAAATTCTAGAATGTTCTATATGGTCATTACTGGCCGTATTTAGCTAACTAAAAAAAACATGTTTCCCATTAGCACCAGCCCTAATATAACTGTAATTTAACTGTTTAATTTCCTCTGCTATACCTGTCGTCTTATCCACCTCTTCTGCTCTCACCTTAACGTAGAGCTGCTGAAACTCCTCCAGGTTGAGGATGCCAGAGGGACAGTCTTTCAGGAAGCCTTTGTACCACTGCTTCAGCTCCGCCTCGTTGAATTCTGTACTCTTGGTCAGGTCATCCAGGACCTCTGGAGCCAGCTTGCTGTTGTGTTTCCCCATGATGCTACACCTCTTTTGGAGGAAGGGGGGGGGGGGTGTACAGAGAGAGAGAAAGAGAGAGGGTTAACACAATTGGAGGAGCTGCTAGACAAACAACAGCAACGGCAACGATTCCCCTGTGTTGTAGAGACAGCACAGGCCTCTGGGAATGGATGCAAACATAGAATAACCTGCAGGGAGAAACGCAGGAGAGCTGCATCGTCTTTATCTGTCTTTTTATCTAAAACGTATGTAGAATGAAACATTCACACACATTTATACTGTAGCAATAATTCAACAGTAGCTGTTTTTGCTACAGTGTTTTTAACACAACTTTTAATCTATACTCAAGACACTTCCTCTAAACTCTAAAACACCTACTGCACTATTTGTCTTTCTAATTAATTTCCTTCCTGGAATCAATTTTTCATTCATTACTAATTTGACACAAATGCTAAGAGACTTTCTACATTCACTAACCTTATCATTATAAGACAAAATTGACTCAATTACAGACTATACTGACAAAGCACTAGAGCGTGTTGTCCATTCAGGAGGAACTTATATGAAATTATAACACAGCAAATGTTATAGTGTGTTCAATGTAAGGCATTATAAAGCATGTTTACTTGGTAAATGTTAGATGGACTGCACTTGAATACACTTTTTTTTATAGCTAACCTAAAGACAAGCCACCCACTCTAACTCTGACTCACAGTTGCCCCATCCATCTCACTTTCTTGGCACTTACAGACTGCCAGTTCAAGGCAGGATATTTCTGCCCCCGTTACACCTGGTCTGCAATAGGTAATGCACAGAGGCGGTGGGGCATAGGCGTCCATTAAAGGAAGTAATAGAGACAGAAAGAGGGGGAGAAACAGTGGCAATGTGAACAGAGCTGTGTGTGTGTGTGTGTGTGTGTGTGTGTGTGTGTATGTCTAAGTGTGTATGTGAAGTTTCCACTGTGTGTTTACGCCCTGAGCCTCTTCCTTCTCAGCAACGCCATACAGAAAAGTGAAACCACACCCTGGGAAACCAATCTTATGCCATTCCTGATGCAATGTGAAAGTACAAAGGTGAATGTCAAATCTTCGTCGTGAAGCTGTTCTGTAATCTTAACCTGTAAGCACCTTCTGTCTCACCACTTGATTACTGTGGGATACTTAAATAATACAACCTCATCCATTTATCCACCAAGGAATGATTTAAAAGTTTAACTTGAGAGTGAGATAAGGGACACACAGACCAACAGTCCATAGTATAAGTGTACAGGCAAGAATGCCCATACAGCTTATTTAAAAACCCAACTGCTGATGGGACAAACAACCTCAGATATTTGTTTGATGTGTCCCTCCTAACATAAGTAAACCTCCTCCCTGTCGGCAGCAGTCTAAACTCTGCATGCAGAGCGTGCTGAGTGTCTTCCAGGATGGTCTTTGCCAAGATGGGTAATTCAAAATTCATTCAGGAGTCTGAGAGAATGCAACTGAAGAGAGTGAAGCAGGTTTCACTTCACATGAGAATGAGATGGTCCTGTGACCTGGTGCACTTTTGAAGATTCTCAATTTGGAATTGGCCAAAGAAATTGCAATCAGTGCATCTCTAATATCTATAAGATCACAAATGCAATGGAATAAATGTCAACGTGCAATAGGTCTTTCCATTTTCATAACGACTGGAGTCATTGTTACTCCACTATAACTTTGTGCCACTTCTGAAAGTACAACCACTGATGATAGCGTCATTTCTGCACAGACAGTAAAATGGCCCATTAACCTGGCTCCACACATCACATGTCTGAGGACCACTGCACTGCCTTAATGACGCCATCCCTGAGTCATAGTCCTGTCTGACCTCTTTCACACTTTGTCACCTGGACACAGCCGACACAGCTGTGTCAAGCGGACACAAATCCTCTTCATAATTGCAAAGGGATTGTGGGGGCAGTTTAAAGGCTGAAATATCATCCTCCCTCGCTTTATGGGCGAGTGAGTCATCTAGAAAGATGCAACAAAACCCCAAGTCACCGCAAAGTGCAACAATATTTTAGACTTTGTATTCCCCTGACAACTGGGGCGCGCTGAAGGAAAGCCAAGAGCTTAGAGGAAGAGGAATGAGTGGAGACAGGCCAATCCAGTATTAACGTGTTGTGAAAAGGTCACCTGTGATCTTATCAAGCCAAGACACTAAAATGAAAGTTCTCTGCTCAGAGAGCCACCCTGCAGTTGCTCAAGACAAAAGAAAGAGTGCTGTTCATAAAGAAAAGAAAGGGGGAAAAAGTGTCTTTAAACAGGATGACAAAAGGTGCATTCAAATAGTCATACACTTTTATTTACTTGTCATCTTGAACTTTTTCAATTACTTCTGGAGAAAAGCAACCAATTTCACTTGTTAATAACAGAGCCCAGCATGAGTCAACCATTAGATGGAAAGTGTCAGTGTTCCATTTCTGTAAAATGCTGTTTTTAAATTGCGCAGTCACAGAAATGGATCCCTTCAGATGGGAAACAGATGTTTTTTGGATTCACAGGAAGAAGTATGAGTGTAGAAGGGCAGCTATAGAGCCAATCAAAGCTCAGACTGAGCATTGATCTATAAACCTCCTGACTGAGGACAGGGCTTAAACTGTTTCATTTTTTCAATGAAAGTGTTTCGATATTCTACAGCAGGTCACTGCCATGACCTTCATACACCTCACTTTTACCCAAATGACGCCAGGCCATCACAAATGATAGGTACAAATAAATGTAAACCAAATATATCAAAGATGCGAGTAGTCCCTTTCCAGCTTGAATTGCCATCGCACATCTGGCATGCACACAAACTTTCACAAGGTTAACGGCTGCAGGCATCCCAGACAGATGTTTTGGGAGCAGTGTGGAGAAGAATCACATCAGGGTTGTGGCGTGTTGGAAGGGACAATTATTCAGTTAGATCAGCGGTCTCCATCAGGTCTAGTATAGCTATAGACCTCGCCAAGAGGTTCACAGCCTGTGTACAAAAAAATCTGATGACAATAAACGCGCCTTGGAAGGCCCTCCCCACTTCTATTCAACCAAAAAATGTGACGTCCCACCCCTCCAATACAAAAAAATAAAACAGACATATCAGCTGTCAATAAAAAAGGTGATGCTCACGTCACGTTTGCCAATCACAGCAATGTAGCAACATCCTCCATGTAAGTTAGTTTGGTGCCGTTACCTAGCCTCTTTTGCCAGAATTAATAACGAATAACAAAGATGGCCATGCCAAGAACAAGCAGAAAACATAACATTTTCTTGGGGAGTGAGAGAGCGAGGTTTATGATCAGGAATGTGAAGGGAAAGTGTGTGTGCCTCATCTGTGGTACCAATATTCCATCAGTAAAAGAAGCATCACAGAACTCTACCATACTTAAAGGTGCACTGTGGAGTTTTGGTAGAGCAATGTGAAAGTTGGAGAAATTCACAGATTCTGTGGTTCATGTTCATAACTCCATACACAAACTGTCCTCAGAGGAAAATTTGGTCCCCGTAAAACTGTTTTACAGTTATTGAGAGGGCCCTCAATAGTGACACTGTAACTCTCCTGCTAGCTTTTTAGCTCCAAACAGTGTTCCAGGGACCCATTTTTTTCTTTGAATAAAGTATGTGTATTTAGTTCAGAAAATATAGCATAGAATTGTTTCACTTCTCCAACTTTCACATTTCACGACCAAAACTACATAGTGCACCTTTAAGCCCAAGGTAACTTTGATAAAAAAACAACAGCAACTTATATTCACCCTACTGATTAAGAAGGCCAACTAAGCTATCCTAACAAAGTGCCAAATGTTGAGGAGAGAGCGATAGCCACAGTGGCTGAAACGTTATTTAGGGACCATTAAAGTAAATCCCAAATAATGTTTGTTATTGCTGATGTTCCAACTGTTTGGTGCTCACACAGTGGCACAGAGACTCTCTGTGCTCTGTAAGCTTTGGGTATTGACATCTGATACATGTATGTGAGAAGTAGCTCTTGGCCACTTTTTTTTTTAAATCTCTCAGATATACAATTATTGGAGACCACTGACTAAGAGGTTTATAGTTACTAAATCGAAACGTCTTTCTTAAATGTGTAATTAATTCTATTCCTTAAGGAGCAAACAGAAAACAAGTTTAACTTTCTCTAAATCATTGACAGTTTCCATTCAGGTGTATACCTCTGTAAATCACCTTCTGTATTAGCAAACCACAAACGTGCCAAAAGCAGTGAGTGTGTTTGGGCCCATACTCTCCTGTACCACACACACACACACACACACACACACAGCTGCAATGTTCTTACACCTGTGACTGAAGAAGATGAGATTCATCCCCCTGTTAGAAAAGCAAATGTAGCGGATAATAGAGTTTTCTCTGGAGGACAGGGAGAGGCGTGACGAGCCAGGCGTGCAAACACTTTGAAAACTTTACCCATCCAGAAGAATCACAATAAACACTGGACATGGCAATAAAAATTGGCACATTTTTACTATGGTTTCCAGACAAGGGCTGGCTTCCAGCTATACTCGCTCTATAGTCTTTGCGGGCTCATCTTACTGAGGAGACATTTATTGTGCAACAATATTCCCTGGAGGTTATCTGGGGATAACCCCTGCTGACTCTTTTTCTTTGGTTTTGTGCCCTTTAGAGCATGAACTTCAAGACCTTGGAGAATTACTGATTAACTGGCTGCTTTACCATTTTCTCCTTTTTGCCTGCCTTGGAAAAGTTGATTTCAATTTAAAAACATGCATGCTGTTTGTATGAGCACATGAATGTACATACAGATGTGCTTGTTTCAAAAAACACAAAAAAGAAAAGTCAGGCATGTTAATGCATAAAAATATGGACGCTGGGTCAGGTCTGGGTTAAGCCTCTGTATGTATAGTAACTGCTGGGCCAAATGGCGTCCCTTGTGGACTTTGGAGAAATGTCTTCGGTTGTGATAACTAATAGCTGCTCAACAACCATCCAGTTAGAGCCCTAAGGATTAAGAATCAGGACATAAACCTCATGGTGCTCTGAAAGCAA